CTCATCTCTAACGGGTACTATTAACGATTTAATGATATGTACGCACTTTGTTAATGAAATTTCATGTGCGGCGCTGGCACATAGAGAGAGTATTCGCTTAACAAAACTGAGAACCCCGGTTCGAACATGCTCGAACAAAAGCGATCAGTTCATTCCATATAAAGAGATCAAAAGTGGTATTAGTCGCATGCTCCTTTGCGATTGCTCCCGGAGTCATCCCGGATTAGTCGCATTTTTTGCAGGGTACAGCGTGACAATAGCGCGAAAAACAGATTTCACTAATGCAATTGAGAGCGCGACAATGATCGTTGCTGTGAGCGTTACACCATAAACAAATGCGATACATTTTTTTTTTGTGAACGCCAGCAGTTCTAAATTGGCAAGCGTAGCGATTAGAAGCTTAATCAAATGAATGCCAAAATTGTTGAAATTCTGAGTGCTGAAGAATGCGACAAAATCGCTAGAAATACTTTTAAATTGAAAAAAGATGAAAGTATTAAAATTAATAGTTATGCCCTTGAAAAGGGGCCGAATGAACTTGTAGGCTTCATGGGAGAATATTACAAATTGCACATTCGAGTGCAAGATGAGGTAAGGTGATTAAGAGCTAAGCTAAACAAGTGTGCTATGGTTCAGATAATCACAAATTCATCACATTCTCTTACCAACAGCGACCGGGAGCGGGTGATGGAATTAAAGATTTTTGTTACTTCGTTAAATCGGTGCCCATATCAAATGAGCTGCACCGGGCTGAATGCGAGCGTAAGTGTTTCTTCAGCAAAGAGGTCTGTGCCTATACCGAGATTTTGCCAAATATACAGAAATATGGTAAGTGCTGAGTCTATTGTAAAGAAAAATAAGATAAAATAAATTAAAAATAAGAAAAAAGTATTACTTTAACCCACAAAACTTTTGAATAGCTTCTACGAAATTATATCCCGAGTGCTATTATGCCCGCAGAGATTTGTTGGTGCTCGAAGATCTCGTAACGCCTACTTTGGGTTATCGGCACTTGGAAACAAATGAGCTATATACGCATAAGCATCGAAAGTTATTTCTTACACACTTAGCACAGCTACATGCGGCCAGCATTGCCTGGGAGGAAAGAGAGGGTATAAATATTGGCGTAAAATTCAAAGATTC